TTAACAACCAGTAAAAGTAATCCTAATGTTAAAAGTCAAATCTCAGAAAATATAGTCACACAGACAGGCGTTGTACCGTGTGTGACAGGCCCAGTAAATGTAACTCTACTAAATCTTGGAGACACTTGTGTCCAAATCCCTAAGTATGCAATTATAGCAGAAGTAAGTCTACTACTCACCCACTACAGTATGATGGTCTTGAGGATGAGGCAAACCCAGATTTTGAGGAGGACTTAGAAAGGGAGGAAGAGAGTGGATATGAAAGTGATAACGAAACTAATAATGAAATTAAAGAGTGTCCATGTCGAGCAGTCAACATAGCAAATGGGACAGAACATCTGAATTTAACTGAGCATGAAATAGAAAATTTCCATGATGCAGAGTACAAGTTGCCAGAAAAAGAACCCATTCCAGAAAATATGCCATTACCTGCAGACTTAGATGCCATGATCAAAGCCACTGCCTTGCCACCAGAACAGAAGGTAGAAGTAGAAAAACTCATTCGCAGACACCACGATGTATTTGCACCAGACAACTTCACATTTGGTCGATGTCCATGGATGAAATTCAGGATAGACACCGGCGACCATCCACCCATCAAACAAAACGCACGTCCAGTACCCCTGCATTACAGAAAAGAAGTGTATGAGACATTTATGAAATACTTAAAAATGGGAGCCATCAAACCAAGCCAGTCTGCTTGGGCGTCACCCATTCTCTGTGTCCTTAAAAAGACTGGAGAAGTTAGAGTTTGTGTAGACTACAGAGCACTCAATGCTATCACTAGAGTTCCAGCAGCACCAATACCCAGAACGCAGGAAATTCTACAAAATTTAGGGGGACACAAAATGTACCACACTTTTGACTTAGCACACGGGTATCACAACTTAGAGGTACACCCTGATGATCAACCCAAAACAGCTATCATTTTACCAGAAGATTTGGGACTACCACACAGACAGTTTGAATACACTCGATTGAGTTTTGGGCTCTCTGCAGCCCCAGGGGCATTCCAACAAGTCACAGATAGACTAGTCACACCAGCCTTAGAACCCAACAAGCACAATGATTTAGGAAATACTGTATCTGTTTACCTGGATGATGTCTGCATAGCTGGAGACAACTTTGAACAAATGTTGCAACGGCTGGAAGCCTTCCTTAATAGAGTCAGGGCTGGAGGGTTCCTCCTCAAAGCCAAAAAGTGTGAGTTGTTTCAAAAGGAGATTTCCTTCTTAGGACACATCCTGTCTGAAACAGGAATAAAAGTAGATTCAAATAAAATTGATAAAATCATTCATTGGCCACAGCCAAATGACAGTTCAGAATTAAAGTCATGGCTTGGTCTAGCCGCCTACTATGGCAAGTACGTACCTCATATGGCCAGCAAGGTTTCACCCTTGTACCGCCTACTCAGAAAAGGAGTCCACTTTGATTGGACGCCTTATTGTCAGGAAGCTTTTGACTCTGTCAAAACAGCTCTCACCACTGCGCCAGTCCTTGGTTCTCCAGATGTGGATAAAGGACCATTCACGTTGACTTGTGATGCCAGCCTCACTGGCCTAGGAGCAGTCCTAACACAAGAACAAGACGGCAATGAAGTAACAATAGCTTACTGGTCTAAAACATTAACCCCAGCACAGAGAAACTACTGTGTCACTCATAGGGAACTCCTAGCATTGGTAGAGTCAGTTAAAGCCTTCAATCATTATCTAGCAGGAGCACCCTTCATAGTAAAATCAGATCACGCAGCCCTACAGTGGCTTAAGAATTTCAAAAACCCTACTGGCATGTTAGCAAGATGGTTGGAAAAGTTGTCTCCATACAAGTTCACAGTCGTGCATGAAAAAGGCACTAACATCAGTCATGCAGATGCACTAAGTAGACGGCCAGACAGGCCATGCGAACCCAGCTGCAAAAAGTGCACAAAAATTGAAGCCAAAGACGCAACAGCTTACCTCATCAGCTCCACTCTTGTGGAAGGGTTAACAATCCAGGAAGTCTTCACATCAGTACTTCAGGCCTCCAACACAGCACCAGTAGTTCACCCAATCAGCTTGGAAGGGAAGTTCTCCTCTCCACTGGCCAGACAAATTGAAGAGTGGTACCAAGTCAAAAGAGACTTCCACTCGAACACAGACAAAACATTCCCGGGGCTGTGCACCTACAACAGAAACAACAAAACAATCATTAGTCTCATTGTCAAGGAAAAGATGGAGCACAGACCACACGTTAATGATGTAGAAATAGCACTAAACATCCTGAAAGCTTGGCTCATCAACAGAAATATCACTGAGTGGAATCTACCAGAGTTTGACTATTACAAAAGTCCAGAAAACAATTTAGAAATAATTCCACTACTCTACAAAGTATTCAAAGACACAAATATGACCATCAACATCTGTCACCACCACACTCAGCCAGACCCAACTAAGGTGAGAACTTGTGAAGAAAGTTGTCGCATTTGCCAAACAGTTGAGGAAAACAAAAGGGTTACAGAAATTCTACACACTGCAATCTCACCTGAAGGGGAAACACCACTAGAGATGGCATCACTGCAGAGAGCAGACAAAAACTTAGCCCCAATCATCACAGCAGTAGAGAAAGGCCAGAAGCCCCTCCTTCAAGATGTCATCAAGTTTGGGCGCAACACCAGAACACTTTGGCACCAATACAACTCCTTAACACTTCAAAATGGAGTACTCTACAGGAGGTTGAGGACCCAACAGGAGACCCTGCAAAAGAAACACTCCAATTAATATTACCCAGGGCTAGTGTAAAATTCACAGTCAGGGAATACCATCAAAACTTGGGAGAAGGGAATCACTTTGGTGAAACAATGACACTCAATTACCTACGTAGGTTTTTCTGGTGGCCCAGAATGGCCGATGATGTAGCAGCACACATATCCAATTGCGACACTTGTCAAAGGTTCAAGAAACCAAGACACCCCACCAAAAACGCAGCACTCAAAATATTCAAGGAAGGAACACTCCATGGCAGATGGCATGTAGATATTTGTGGCAAAGTACCTAAAACAAAAGAAGGATACGAGTACATATTAGTGGCAATAGAGGCATTTTCAGGCTGGCCAGTTGTAGTCCCACTTGTTAAAAATGATGCTAAAGAAATTGCAACTGCATTAATAACCCATGTTTTCTCAGTTTACGGAGCACCAGTCTCTATCCTTTCGGATCAAGGGACACCCTTTGAGTCGCAACTATTCCAGGAAATAATGGACTTGTACCAGATAAAGAAATATCGAACAACAGCCTTTCACCCTTCAGCCAACGGAAAAGTGGAAAGGTGGATCAGAACCCTCAAGCAGCAGTTGGCAATGCTTGTAAATAAAGTCCAAAAAGAGTGGGTGAAATATTTACCTCACATAGCTCAGGCGTACAGGAACTTGCCAAATCCAGTCCACAAGTTCTCTCCGTATGAAATGATGTTTGGCACAACAATGAGGACTCCACTCACACTGAATCAAGGAAGCCCACCATGGACAAAGGACGTTGGAACCATGCCGCAGCAAATCAGAGAGCGTCTGGACCAAATCCACGAACTGGTCAGGGGAATGCAAGAATCAGCTGCAACAAAAATGAAACAACGATATGACAACACGGCAATGCTGACCCCATTCAAGGCAGGAGACAGGGTCTATCTCTACAGACCAAGAGGGATTAAAGGAGTCTCCCCAAAGTTAACATCACCATGGGAAGGACCCTACACTATACTAAATATCTTAAACGACTGTAACGCAAGAATTCAGAAGGAAGCTCACCCATATACCATGATGATAGTCCACACCGACAGACTGGCAGCATATCCAAACTCCGAGGAAGAAACTCAAGCTGCATGGCTCACATACGTCTGAGTCATCCAATAACCAAGGACAACATGGCAACGGGCCAACACGACTGACCAAAGGTGAAGGAAAGGGCAGCCTGGCCTTGCCCAGGTCTCCGGTATGGTCTGTGGCAATCATCGCCAGCCACCCGTCGTGCAGTTCGTGAAGCTGCTGTCACAGAACCCGATGGTGAGCTCTCAACCTACGGCGCTGCTGGCGCTGGTGGCGGCGAAGAGCAGCCTTCCAGCCCTGCGCTACGAGGCTTTCTTCGGTCATCGGAGCCGCTCTCGAAGTGAAGCCGCTTTCACGCTACGCTGGCGGTGCCCCCAGCAGACCACGCGGTATCGCGGCGGCGATGGCGGGAACACCATGGCCGCGCTGCGGACGCTGGTGCTGCGGTCGGCGCCCGTTCCAGAGGCGTTGATGGTCTGATGAGCCGCTCCCGACGAAACTCCACTTACATCCCGACCGGTCACGGAACCAGGCGGGAACGGAAGAGGCAACTTCCAGCCCAACTACGCCGGCGGGGCCGCACCAGGGGGCTATCCCCGACATAAAGCCGAGGCCTTTCCCTGGCAACGACCCCGGGCCCCCGTACACAAAGGGGCCCGCCGGTACCCGGTTCCACTGGCCAGATGGAAAAGACTGTCTCCCGGATCCCAAGCCTGAGAACAGCCCCCGAGACCCCGACACCACAATGATGCCGAGAGTCCCGCCGGGAAAGCCGTGAAACGGCAAAGGTTGGAACGTCCACCAACAGGACGCGGCGGATCTTCTTGAACCACTTGACCCACGACGTCGGTCACAGCTGGGCATCTTCCGGAACTTGAAAATCGGTGTCTTCAAGTTCAAACGTCCGGAGCAGTCACCAAAAGTTCAATTCTTCACGGACGCACTCCAACCTTGTCAACAAACAGCTGCGAAGCACCGCCTGCTCGCAATCGGCACTCTGACGCCTCGGAAATAGTCGGGTCCACATAACCTGCAACAGGAGAACCAAGCATGAGTCAAACCGGCCATGAAAGCACCGCCTCCTACGACTAACCGGAAACAACCGGCCGCCATCTTGTCCTTGCCCGCCATCTTATATCAAAGTCAAACTTGAATCTAAACCCAACTCAGCTAACAAATCGGAAATCGGAAAACATCTGCAAAAATGGCCCCCAGAACTTGGATTGCTCATAAAGGAACCAACGAAAAGGACCCTGCCCACGAATTGAAGAATGGAAAGGTAAAGAAAACTTACCAAATACCCAAAACCAGCCACCACAAGGAATGGGCCAGGGAATCGCCACTTCAGCCAAAGGACACTCTCACAACGGATACGGATCGGATTACGCCACTGAAACAGAATAACAAGCAAATCATACAAACCAAAACATCACCACTAGCAAAACTATTTGAGAAAGAGGAAGAGAAAGAAAGAAAAGCGAGGCAGAGGCAACACCAAGAGTTACTTAGAAAGAAAAAGCGAGACGCGGAATTTAGGAGAGAACAACTTGAACAGAGAGAAAAGATTAGGAAACAGAGAATTCAAGCCCAGCGAGAAAGAGAAGCCAGAGAAAGAAAAGAGTATGCAGAAAAACTCAGAAAAGAAGAAGAAGCACTAAGTTGGTTTGAAGACCCAGGGTACACGAACTTGCTGGGTGCATGGGACTCAACTTCGGAATCAGAAATTGAAGTTATAGATTTAGAGGGAAACGATTCAGACATTGAGGAGATCTACCGCACAAGCCCCAAAACAGTACAAACTAATGAAAAGGATCCAGAGTACATAAAGCGAGTGTTGGAACACATGAGAGCCCAAGAAAAAGAAATGATGCAAGAAATAACGGCACTGGAATTTGAAATACAAGGATTAGAAAAAGTAAACTCACCACAACAAAGATTGCAGGAAGAACAGCCCAAGTCAATGCTCAAAACACCTCCCAAGATCGCCCATGAACACTCCAGCAGCACCATTCCATCAGAAACGAACTCTGGGCACACGACGTCTCCAGAAGAACCAGCAAAACCAACGGAAAACACAGAGACACTGCAACAGAAAGAAATAGAGGTTAAAACAGAACAGCACCACAATGAACCAAACACAAAAAGAAAAAGAATAAAGAAAACTAAAACAATCAGATGTAACAAGTGCAGACAAAGAGACCACTCCACCAAAGAGTGCAAAACCAACCTTTAATACCGAAGAAAGGTCTTGTTCCGAAGCAAAGAAGTAAACTACTTCGATAACGGCTCAATCAAGACCAGAAGAAAAACAACATCAAACCTGAAACAAAGTAAATATTTAAAAAAAAAAAAAACATGTAACAAAAAAAGCAATAACAACAACAACAACTGAGCAAGGGAGTGTCAGGCAGGCCCTCACGATCAGCAATGAACATAAAATAAGAGCAAGGCACATATCACCAATTTGGAAGCAAAAATAATAATAAAGGAAGGACAACACTCACCAGAAACCACCGTGCAAGGAACAAAAAGTTAGGGTCAAGAAGTGCCCAACATGCCAAGATAAAAGGAAAGGAACGTGAAAAAACAAACACAAATCAGGCTTCATGCAAATTATAAAAATCAGGGTTTAACATCGAGAAACCAAAAGACACCAAAAGGGCAACAACACACAAGAAGCTGAAGGGCACAGGAAAGAAGGAGCATAAGGGCAACCAACCACAAGGCGGTCTATGAATAGGGTTGGCTGCCTTTGATGTCACTTAATTCGGGCCTTCACTGCAAAATCCCCTTTTTTTGGGTGCACTGTTTTATTTTCCCCCCCTAAAAAAACCACAAAACCCAAGAACTTCTTGAGATACTTTAAGACAAGAAGTGGGGACCTCAATGGACCTTCAGGACAAAAATTTCAAAAATCAAAGATGGCGTTCGGTGGGAACTACACTGTAAAGTTCACTGTTTCTTCGTTAGAGTAAATTTTTCCTATTTTCACATCTATCGACACCAAACCAACGCCATTTTATGCAAAATTTTCATTTCCTTTCGAATGAGACAGAATCACCACTCAAGGTCTCATAGGAGCCAAGATATTGGACTTAAGTGAAACACTGTTTTTACATTTGGCAAAATAGCCAAAAATGAGGTATGGCTATATCCCCGGAAGTTTTGGGAAAATTTGGCCAAAACTATTTAGGGCATCGATCTTAACACTAATTGACGGCGATCCACCAACTTTGGCCCAAATCGGTGACATCATGGCTTTGGCTCGGGTTTGATTTGGGCATGGAAGACCCAGTCTAAATTTTTCAGATCACATTTTGTATGAAAAATGATCCCAGTCGGTCTATTTTATCAGACTAATTTGTACGAAGAATATGAACAGTCGCACTAAACAATGCCACTCTGTCGAGTAGAGCTCAATACGGCGAACTTTTGCCATGGGTTTATGGTAGACGCTCAGCGGATCGTCTCGGCTCAAAAATTAGGTACACGGCAGTAGACTCCTATTTGCAAAGGTAGTGAAGAGGCTAGAGGTGACTGCTGAATTGCGAGGGAGAGCGGCCTTAGCCCAACCACGCCCCGACCCGGGGCCCATGCGCGAGAGTGAAGTTGTTTTCTTTTTTATTTAGCTTATACTGCATTTTTAAACCTGAATTTGCTTTGGTGCGCTCATGCCCTTCAGACAATCACTGGAATAAGTTTGTAACAAAATATTCGCAATTTCGCCTTCAAGTGGCAATTTTAGCTCCAATAGATCGTCCATGCGACACTAGCGCCACCTAGCGGATAGAGCAATAAGTGTCCATTTCGGAGCTCTGAAACATTCTCTATGCTTTTTCGACACTAAACGTAAATATTATTTGAAATACAACAGTAGTATTAATAAAAGTTCTGAGAAAATCGAAAAATGTACAAAGGGGGCGGGGTTTTTTCACTCGTTTTCCGATTTCACAAGTATGAATTTAGTTTTCGGACGACAATGACAAAATTGATAACCATCGCTCTAAATATTCAGACTTGCTAGTCTAAATTCAACTTTCAGACAACAGGTCAAACTTTTCAGAAGTTGGTCTTTAAAATTTGTACCATTTTAGAATACGATTCAGACACCCAAATAAAACGAAATCAGTCTGAATTTCAATTTTTTTTAAAAGTGGTGCTAATCAGAAAATCTTGCTGAAACCTTTCGTAGAGAGGGAGGTTTCCACAAAGTTTGGGAAAATGACCTGGTGGTTGATGAGTCAGAGTTGTCTGACGCGTTGCTTGCCATGACGATTAATGGGTATAGTCGTCCTCCGGAGTCGGAAAGGAAACTGTCCACTTCTGCTTCACCTCCGGAAATGACATGCCATACAGTAACGTCTCAGGCAAGAGCGGAGGGGGCTGATCATCGCCAGCTTGACAGCCAGACCGGTCATCGCCAGCTTGACGGTCTAGAAACAAAGAACAAAACCATGGTAAAAGATTTTGAAAGGGTGCGGCCAACGCACAAGAAAGTGAACAAAATTGGGAATCCAACCACCCGAAAGAGCAGAAGGCAAGATGCATGTTGGTTTTTTAACACCAGTAAAAATAATCCTAATGTTAAAAGTCAAATCTCAGAAAATATAGTCACACAGACAGGCGTTGTACCGTGTGTGACAGGCCCAGTAAATGTAACTCTACTAAATCTTGGAGACACTTGTGTCCAAATCCCTAAGTATGCAATTATAGCAGAAGTCCTACTACTCCACCCATTACAGTATGATGGTCTTGAGGATGAGGCAAACCCAGCTTTCGAGGAGGACTTAGAAAGGGAGGAAGAGAGTGGATGTGAAAGTGATAACGAAACTAATAATGAAATTAAAGAGTGTCCATGTCGAGCAGTCAACATAGCAAATGGGACAGAACATCTGAATTTAACTGAGCATGAAATAGAAAATTTCCATGATGCAGAGTACAAGTTGCCAGAAAAAGAACCCATTCCAGAAAATATGCCATTACCTGCAGACTTAGATGCCATGATCAAAGCCACTGCCTTGCCACCAGAACAGAAGGTAGAAGTAGAAAAACTCATTCGCAGACACCACGATGTATTTGCACCAGACAACTTCACATTTGGTCGATGTCCATGGATGAAATTCAGGATAGACACCGGCGACCATCCACCCATCAAACAAAACGCACGTCCAGTACCCCTGCATTACAGAAAAGAAGTGTATGAGACATTTATGAAATACTTAAAAATGGGAGCCATCAAACCAAGCCAGTCTGCTTGGGCGTCACCCATTCTCTGTGTCCTTAAAAAGACTGGAGAAGTTAGAGTTTGTGTAGACTACAGAGCACTCAATGCTATCACTAGAGTTCCAGCAGCACCAATACCCAGAACGCAGGAAATTCTACAAAATTTAGGGGGACACAAAATGTACCACACTTTTGACTTAGCACATGGGTACCACAATCTAGAAGTACACCCTGATGACCAACCCAAAACGGCCATCATCTTACCAGAAGATTTGGGACTACCACACAGGCAGTTTGAATACACTCGATTGAGTTTTGGGCTCTCTGCAGCCCCAGGGGCATTCCAACAAGTCACAGACAGACTAGTCACACCAGCCTTGGAACCCAACAAGCACAATGATTTAGGAAATACTGTGTCTGTTTACCTGGATGATGTCTGCATAGCTGGAGACAACTTTGAACAAATGTTGCAACGGCTGGAAGCCTTCCTTAATAGAGTCAGGGCTGGAGGATTCCTCCTCAAAGCCAAAAAGTGTGAGTTGTTCCAAAGGGAGATTTCCTTCCTGGGACACATCCTGTCTGAAACAGGAATAAAAGTAGATTCAAATAAAATCGACAAAATCATTCATTGGCCACAGCCAAATGACAGTTCAGAATTAAAGTCATGGCTTGGTCTAGCCGCCTACTATGGCAAGTACGTACCTCATATGGCCAGCAAAGTTTCACCTTTGTACCGACTACTCAGAAAAGGAGTCCACTTTGATTGGACACCTTACTGTCAGGAAGCTTTTGACTCTGTCAAAACAGCTCTCACCACTGCGCCAGTCCTTGGTTCTCCAGATGTGGATAAAGGACCATTCACGTTGACTTGTGATGTCAGCCTCACTGGCCTAGGAGCAGTCCTAACACAAGAACAAGACGGCAATGAAGTAACGATAGCTTATTGGTCTAAAACATTAACCCCAGCACAGAGAAATTACTGTGTCACTCATAGGGAGCTCCTAGCATTGGTAGAGTCAGTAAAAGCCTTCAATCATTATCTAGCAGGAGCACCTTTCATAGTAAAATCAGATCACGCAGCCTTACAGTGGCTCAAAAATTTCAAAAACCCTACTGGCATGTTAGCAAGATGGTTGGAAAAGTTGTCTCCATACAAGTTCACAGTTGTGCACGAAAAGGGCACTAACATCAGTCATGCAGATGCACTAAGTAGGCGGCCGGACAGGCCATGTGAACCTAACTGCAAAAAGTGTACAAAAATCGAAGCTAAAGACGCAACAGCTTACCTCATCAGCTCCACTCTTGTGGAAGGGTTAACGATCCAGGAAATCTTCACATCAGTACTTCAGGCCCCCAACACAGCACCAGTAGTTCACCCAATCAGCTTGGAAGGGAAGTTCTCCTCTCCACTGGCCAGACAAATCGAAGAGTGGTACCAAGTCAAACGAGACTTCCACTCGAACACAGACAAAACATTCCCCGGGCTGTGCACCTACAACAGAAACAACAAAACAATCATTAGTCTCATTGTCAAGGAAAAGATGGAGCACAGACCACACGTTAATGATGTAGAAATAGCACTAAACATCCTGAAAGCTTGGCTCATCAACAGAAATATCACTGAGTGGAATCTACCAGAGTTTGACTATTACAAAAGTCCAGAAAACAATTTAGAAATAATTCCACTACTCTACAAAGTGTTCAAAGACACAAACATGACCATTAATATCTGTCACCACCACACCCAGCCAGACCCAACTAAGGTGAGAACTTGTGAAGAAAGTTGTCGCATTTGCCAGACAGTTGAGGAGAACAAAAGGGTCACAGAAATTCTACACACTGCAATCTCACCTGAAGGGGAAACACCACTAGAGATGGCATCACTGCAGAGAGCAGACAAAAACTTAGCCCCAATCATCACAGCAGTAGAGAAAGGCCAGAAGCCCCTCCTTCAAGATGTCATCAAGTTTGGGCGCAATACCAGAACACTTTGGCACCAATACAACTCCTTAACACTTCAAAATGGAGTACTCTACAGGAGATTCGAGGACCCGACAGGAGATCCTGCAAAAGAAACACTCCAATTAATATTACCCAGAGCCAGTGTAAAATTCACAGTCAGGGAATACCATCAAAACTTGGGAGAAGGGAATCACTTTGGTGAAACAATGACACTCAATTACTTACGTAGGTTTTTCTGGTGGCCCAGAATGGCCGATGATGTAGCAGCACACATATCCAATTGCGACACTTGTCAAAGGTTCAAGAAACCGAGACACCCCACCAAAAACGCAGCACTCAAAATATTCAAGGAAGGAACACTCCATGGCAGGTGGCATGTAGATATTTGTGGCAAAGTACCTAAAACAAAAGAAGGATACGAGTACATATTAGTGGCAATAGAGGCATTTTCAGGCTGGCCAGTTGTAGTCCCACTTGTTAAAAATGATGCTAAAGAAATTGCAACTGCATTAATAACCCATGTTTTCTCAGTTTACGGAGCACCAGTCTCTATCCTTTCGGATCAAGGGACACCCTTTGAGTCGCAACTATTCCAGGAAATAATGGACTTGTACCAGATAAAGAAATATCGAACAACAGCCTTTCACCCTTCAGCCAACGGAAAAGTGGAAAGGTGGATCAGAACCCTCAAGCAGCAGTTGGCAATGCTAGTAAATAAAGTCCAAAAAGAGTGGGTGAAATATTTACCTCACATAGCTCAGGCATACAGGAACTTGCCAAATCCAGTCCACAAGTTCTCTCCGTATGAAATGATGTTTGGCACAACGATGAGGACTCCACTCACACTGAATCAAGGAAGCCCACCATGGACAAAGGACGTTGGAATCATGCCGCAGCAAATCAGAGAGCGTCTCGACCAAATCCACGAACTGGTCAGGGAGATGCAAGAGTCGGCTGCAACAAAAATGAAACAACGATATGACAACACTGCAATGCTGACCCCATTCAAGGCAGGAGACAGGGTCTATCTCTACAGACCAAGAGGGATTAAAGGAGTCTCCCCAAAGTTAACATCACCATGGGAAGGACCCTACACTATACTAAATATCTTAAACGACTGTAACGCGAGAATTCAGAAGGAAGCTCACCCATATACCATGATGATAGTCCACACCGACAGACTGGCAGCATATCCAAAATCCGAGGAAGAAACCCAAGCTGCATGGCTCACATACGTCTGAGTCATCCAATAACCAAGGACGACATGTCAACAAGCCAGCACGACTGACCAAAGGTGAAGGAAAGGGCAGCCTGGCCTTGCCCAGGTCTCCGGTATGGTCTGTGGCAATCACCGCCAGCCACCCGCTTGTGGTGCAGTTGTCGTGAAGCTTGCTGTCACAGAACCCGATGGTGAGCTCTCAACCTGACGGCGCTGCTGGCGCTGGTGGCGGCGAAGAGCAGCCTTCCAGCCCTGCGCTGCGAGGCTTTCTTCTGGTCCATCGGAGCCGCTCTCGAAGTGGAGTTCCGCTTTCATCCGCCTCACGCTGGCGGTGCCCCAGCAGACCACGCTGGTATTCGCGGCGGCGATGGCCGGGACCACCATGGCCGCGCTGCGGACGCTGGTGCTGCGGTCGGCGCCCGTTCCAGAGGCGTTGCTGGTCTTGACTGAGCCGCTCCCGACGAAAACTCCACTTACATCCCGACCCGGTCACGGAACCAGGCCGGGAACGGAAGAGGCAACTTCCAGCCCAACTACGCCGGCGGGGCCGCACCAGGGGGCTATCCCCGACATAAAGCCGAGGCCTTTCCCTGGCAACGACCCCGGGCCCCCGTCCACAAAGGGGCCCGCCGGTACCCGGTTCCACTGGCCAGATGGAAAAGACTGTCTCCCGGATCCCAAGCCTGAGAACAGCCCCCGAGACCCCGACACCACAATGATGCCGAGAGTCCCGCCGGGAAAGCCGCGAAACGGCAAAGGTTGGAACGTCCACCAACAGGACACAGAGGATCTTCTTGAACCATTTGATCCACGACGGCAATCGAGCAACCATCGAGCAGCCCTCTTCTAGCTGTAGCCGAGCATCTTCCAAAACTTGAAAGCACAGCGATTCTCACGTTTCGGGGTAGTTTCGTTTCTTCTGACTCTTGTGCCCAAACGAGCGCAGATATCGACATGGGGTTTGTTTCTGATGTTAGGGAGGGCCATTGCCCACTAAACGCACACATTTGGAAAAGTTCACGTTCGTTGGATTGGTCTACGTAGCGTTTGGAATACCCCAAATGTAACTTCCGTGATTGTCCAAAGAGAACATACTCGAACTTTCCGCCCCCAGTGTGGCGGTGTGGTTCGAAAATGCTGCCAACTGTCGATGGGGATTCGAAGCTTGGCATGTCTCGAGCTAATTTCAACCGAAGACCAATACGCCAGACTTCTTTCGAAGGTACTTATGCTGCAACGAAAAATGTCCTCCGTATATTGAATTTCACTACACAAATTTCGAAAAGGCAGCTCTGGACTTCTCCCCAAGCCAAACTTTTAACTTTCCATGACACAAGCTATCAAAGTGGAGTCCCTGGGATATAATTGCATGGGTCGCGGAAATCTAAGATGCTGTACACGGTCTCAAAGCGGGCTAGAGCATTATAAAATGGCGTGTATCAACAATTACCTGTAACTTCCGTGGCACCCTTTACCCAATGTTGCAGCAGCACTAGGTGAAAAAATTTTCCGCTGAAATGTCGGGCTTAGAGTATCATTTGACCCTGGAACGACTTGTAAGCCACAGCAAGCCCGAGTCAGCCGTTAAAGCTGATTTTCACACTTTGTAACTTCCGTGACAACGTAATTTCCGTGATCAAAACACCCACTAAAACGTATGGGAATACCTTATGGCTCATGTTTTTAGGAAGATAGTACAAGGTCTTTACTTTAAATACCATTGCCATCACTCTAGTACCACCCAGGACCCCAATAATCAGAAAAACTTAATTGGATATTTCTCACTTTCGGCGAATCAGAGACTCCAAAACTACCCCGAAACGTGAGAATCGCTCAGCAGTGTCCTCAAGTCCAAACGCCCAGAGCAGTCACCAGCTTCAGTTCTTCACAGACGCACTCCAACCATGTCAACAAACAGCTACGAGTCACCGCCTGCTCGCAATCGGCACTCTGACGCCTCAGAAATGGTCGCGTCCACATAACCTGCAACAGGAGAACCAAGCATGAGTCGAACCGGCCATGAAAGCACCGCCTGCTATGACGAACCGGAAGCAACCGGCCGCCATCTTGTCCTTGCCCGCCATCTTATACCAAAGTCAAACCTTAATCTAAACCCAACTCAGCTACCAAATCGGAAATCGGAAAACATCTGCAAAAATGGCCCCCAGAACTTGGATTGCTCATAAAGGAACCAACGAAAAGGACTCTGCCCGCGAATTGAAGGATGGAAAGGTAAAGAAAACTTACCAAATACCCAAAACCAGCCACCACAAAGAATGGGCCAGGGAATCGCCACTTCAGCCAAAGGACACTCTCACAACGGATACGGATCGGATAACGCCACTGAAACAGAATAACAAGCAAATTAAACAAACCAAAACATCACCGCTAGCAAAACTTTTTGAAAAAGAGGAGGAGAAAGAAAGGAAAGTAAGACAAAAGCAACACCAGGAGCTACTTAGAAAGAAAAAACGGGACGCAGAATTTAGAAGAGAGCAGCTCGAGCAAAGAGAGAAGATAAGAAAACAGAAAATTCAGGCTCAGCGAGAAAGAGAAGCCAGAGAAAGGAAGGAGTATGCGGAGAAGCTCAGAAAAGAAGAAGAGGCTCTAAGCTGGTTTGAAGACCCAGGATACACAAATTTGCTAGGAGCATGGGACTCAGCTTCGGAATCAGAAATTGAAGTCATAAATTTAGAAGAAAATGACTCAGACATTGAGGAAATATACTGCACAAGCCCAAAAACAATAAAACCTAGTGAAAAGAATCCAGAATACGTAAAGCAAGTGTTGGAATGCATGAGGGCTCAAGAAAAGGAAATGATGAAAGAAATAATGGAAATAGAATTCCAGATAAAAGCAATAGAAAAGGCAAACTCACCTCAGAAGGAGCAGCAGGATCAGCAGCCCAAACTCACAGCATGGGAAGCAGCTCAAATTGACACGACGATTCCAAGTCAGCCAGCACAACAGACAGGAATTCCCTCGCAAAAATCCACATCACTGCAGCAAATAAAAACGAAACATGACGATAAAGCAATAGAAAACCAAGCAGGACAGTCAAGGAAAAGAGGAAAATCCAAAAGGTTAAGATGCACCAAGTGCCACTCAAGAGGGCACACTACATCAGAATGCAAACTCACCGAGGTAAACGAAGCCAAGTAGAGCAAGCAGCAGCAGGGAAGTAAGGGACGTCAGCAGCAAGTCCAACGCGTCTTGTCCTCGAGCAAAAGAATAAACTGCTTCGACAACGGCTCCGTCAAGACCAGAAGAAAAACAAATCAAAACCTGAAACAAAGCAAATAATAAAAAAAGGCACTAAATAACAACTGAGCAAGGGAGCGTCAAGGGGGCCCCTTAAGCCCAGTACACAGGCAAACCTTTCTTTAAAAAAAAAAAACAAGCACACTTCCCCAAATTTGGAAGAAAAAAAAATAAAAAAAAGGAAGGACAACCTCACCAAAAACCCCCGTGAAAGGGAACAAAAAGTTGGGGTCAAGAAGTGCCCAACATGCAAGATAAAAGGAAAGGAACGTGAAACAACAAACAACAATCAGCTTCATGAAATTTTATAAAATCGGGGTTTAACATCGAGAAACCAAAAGACACCAAAAGGGAAACCCAAACCCCACAAGAAGCCTGAAGGGCACAGGAAAAGAAGGGAGCATAGGGCAACCAACCCACAAGAAGCCTAAAGGGGCACAGGAAAAGGGGGAGCATATTCCCAACAAAATCATCACCCCTCTCAGAATCACAGAAACACTAGAGTCGCTAGAGTCACTCGGGTACTCGAAACCGCACCAGCACAGATTGGAATCACTATCCTTTGGA